AATGCTGCAACTTTTGTTTAAACTGAATTTGGAAAGTTTAGGTCTACATTATCCAAGGCAGCAGGGACTTAAGACAAAGCTTGGTATACTCATGTCTCTAAAGTCTTCCCGTTCTATTCTTGTGGGTCTGTTTAACATTATGTGTAATACTGGATTCAATTCATGTTTTCTCTTCTACTTAGAATCTGTCCTTGGCGCTGTAAATATTGATTAATGTAAGTCTTTTGTTGCGCTATCCTCTAATATTTACTGAAAATGCAACTGCAGTATGAATCTGTGGCCACAAGGTTGTATCAAAAGATCTGTTGCAAGCAAGATTTTCCTATAAACAACAATAGACCATTTTCCAAAGATGTCTGTAAAACTGTTAACAACAATAAACATAGTCCATTATTTTGGACACTTGCACCTAAAATGGTGCAGTTTGCCCTGCTTCTTCCACCATTCCTTGAGGGGGTGAACCATGCGCAAACCTTCATTTTTGTCTGCAGTAGCAGCAACACAGGGAAGATCAAAGTTTTGTAGTTGGCTACAGCGATAAATTGGGACTCACCCATGTGAACCCATGACAGCTAACTTAATGCCTTTGTCATGACACTTACTGACTTTTCAGACCCTTTTTTCTCAAAAAAGTACCTAGCACGTGATGGTGGCAAGGTGAGCACATAATCTGAGCAAGAGCTTAATACTACTTTGCCCTCAAGTATCAAATATCCTGACAAAGCCGCTTCTTAGAAGCCATTATTGGAATGAATAGTTTGTGCTATGTCCTTAGAAAACTGAATATGATAGCTCCGGCAAATTGGACTTGGCCCTTGCTAAAACCTTCAACTTGAGGACTGCTAAACTATGGAAGATAATCAACAAGAAGAGCTCTATACAGCTAGCAAGCGGCAAGATGAAGAATTGTGGCCCCCACAGCACAAGAGCCAAGGTTTGTCCAACTGGAACAACAGGTTGCTGCTCTGATGGAGAGTTTGGAAATGGGTGAGAACAACAGCAGGTGCCTTAATGTTTGGATCGTCGGTTTGACAGAAGGCGCAGGGCAGCCGGTGGATTTTTTCAAATCATGGCTGCCCAATTGGTTGAAGACCAAAGTTAGACGAGAGCCACTGTTTGCTGGCACCGATGCCAGACCCAAATAAAAAAAACAGGTTGCTGCTGCTGTGTTTTCACATATTCAAGCAGACAAGCAGGCTCCAAGAGGTTCTCAACCTCCAAGCAAACAAACGGCTACATTGACTCCCTGGCTGGATCATGGTTTCTGTGAGCATGGACCGAATGCACTTTTTGTTTCATCCTCAAAGCTTATTCTTCATGATCTTTGCTCTCCCACTCATGCCATCTGGACATGCTGTTTGGATATTACTTAGATAATTAAAGACTAAATATATATTTATACTATACCGGCTTTGTTTTGTTTCCTGTAATGTTTTGAGCTCTGTGTGGTGCCCTGAGGAAAAGCCCTCAATCTGTCCTTGTTCTTTGTACACTTGTTATGGTTGTCTAGTTCAGTTTTTTTTTGGTTGCTAAGGGCACACATGTTAAGGATTTAAGGTGCATCACAGTGAGGTATTTCCCAGACCTTGGCTTGGGACTTTTTAATGCCATGGGTCACAAAATGCATGTATCAGAAGCATTTAGCTCTGATGGCAATAACGACATATAATTCTGACAATCTCTCATGGCCATACCCAATTAAAACAATTTTAAAATATGTTCCTGGAATATCTGGGATATACAAAAACCTAGTGAAGACACTGGCAGTTTTATGATTTATGAAAAAGAAGGAGGTATCTATCCTCCAGGAGGTGCAAAAGAACTGGGTGAACATTTGGTCAAAGAAAGGGCAGACCATTTGATTACAAATCTATTCATATTCTAAATCTTATTCCAATTTATTTAAATCAGAGCAGCCGCATGATGCCCAAGCCCTTCTTTTTTCCAGACCTGAGACTAAAAGGCCTCAGAAGCCCAGAAATGACTGTTAAATGCACCCAGAAAAATAGAGGCAGCATTGCATGCTCTAAAATCTATGACATCGGGGAAGGTTCAAGGTGTGAGTTTTATAAGGACTTTAACCATATTATGTTAAACCTCTTGCTGGCTATGATTGATGACTCATTTTGAATTGGGAACTTCCCAAATCATTTAGGGAGGCCAAAATCATTGTCATTCTCAAAAAAGGAAATTGCCCTGTCAGCCGTACCTCTTACAAGCCGATAGCCCTCCTTAACTCTGATTTAAAACTTTATGAAGATCAGACTTTAGGAACTCCAGTGATAATATGAGAATGCTCCTCAATATTATTCAGCTTTCCCAGGGTGGCGAGGATCCCGCCCTTGTGCTTCCCTATTTATTTTGGAGAAATTTGGCCTGGGGGATCATTTTGTAAAGTCGGTCCGGTTTCTTTACAATACTCCTACGGCTGCAGTTCAGACTAATGGACTGATATCTAATAATTTCCCTCTCTGCCAGGAGAATAGACAGGTTCACCCCCTTAGCCCTTTGCAATTTGCCAGCTGTACGGCAGACTGCTGCCATATCTGGTATTATTATTAGAGAAAAAGCATATAATTACCCTATATGCTGATGATGTGTTAATTTTAGAACCAGGCTCAATGTGGGCGGTCATCTGCCTCGACCGGTTGGGGTGAGCAAAGAAAAAGGGGAGGAGAGGATAGATGGGTGGAAAAGAGGGGAGAGAAGAGATAGAGATAGTGGGGAGGGGGAGAGGGAGAGAGAGAGAGGCGAGAGAGACCGGGAACACTTGAGCACCATCAGGTATCAGCTCTGACTAGTTAAAATTAAAACAATAACAGTGTAAAGAGTTATTGATTATTATTGATAACGGTCACAATTCATATAATAATTAACTGCTGAAGTGTTGTTAATAAAAGTAATAATGGTAAAAGTTGTTGTCCTGGAGTTCCGTGGTCAGAGATATCTGAAATGAGAGAGAAAGAGAGAGGGACTATTGGAGGAAAATGTAACATAGTTATTGACATGCATTAAAATAAATAAATGAGTGTGGGGGACAGAGAGACAGAGTGAAGTGGAGAAGTGCTCAGTGGATGATGGGAGTTCCCCCAGCAGTTTAGACGTATAGCAGCATAACTAAGGGATGGTTCAGGACTCACCTGATCCAGAACTAACTATAGGCTTTATCAAAAAGGAACGTTTTACCTTTAAATGCAGAGATGGTGTCTGCCTCCAGAACCCAGAGTGGGAGCTGGTTCCACAGGAGAGGAGCCTGGTAGCTGAAGGTTCTACCTCCTGTTCTACTCTTACAGACTCTGGAACCCAGAGTGGGAGCTGGTTCCACAGGAGAGGAGCCTGGAAGCTGAATGCTCTATCTCTTGTTCTAGTCTTACAGACTCTTGGAACCATAAGAGAGCCTGTGTTTTGGGAACAAAGTGATCTATTTGCATAATATGGTGTTATCAGGTCTTTTGATATATGAAGGGGCTTGATTGTTAAGGGCTTTAAATGTGAGGAGCAGGATCTTGAAATCTATTCTGAATTTCAGTCTTCCTGGGGCATCCTGATAATAAAGGATTACAGTAATCCAGTCTTGAGGGAACAAATACATGGACTAGTTTCTCAGCATTCTTCTGAGACAGGACGTTTCTAATTTTCTTAATATTGCGCAGGTGGAAAAAAATGACATATTCTGCTTGAACATAACTCCAAGGTTCCTCACAGTGGAGCTGGAGGCCAAACTGACACCATCCAAGGTGACTATCTGGTCAGACAGTGGTTCCCTGAAATGTTTAGGGCCAATTACAACAACCTCAGTTTTGTCTGAATTTACATTCCTGAAGTTGAACTAAGTGATTACATTCATCAGGCTTCATAGAAATGTATAGCTGGGTGTCGTCTGCGTAACAATGGTAGTGTATGTGGTGCTTTCTTGATGATGATGCCTAAGGGGAGCATATATATGGTGAAGACTATCAGTCTAACCTTGTGGAACTCCATGACTAACTTGCATGTGCATGGAGGGGTCATTGTTGATGTTAACAAATTGAAATCTATCTGATAAATATGATTTAAACTAGCCTAGTGCTGTTCCTTTAATCTCTACTTGTTGTTCCAGTCTCTGTAGCAGAATCTTATGATCTATGGCAGGGGTATTCAACAAAAATTTTAAGAGGTCCAGTTAGAGAAAATTTCCTCAAGCGAAGGTCCAGAACATCATAATATATACAGTATATATATATTGAAGTAGCCTCATAGTTGTATCATCATCTGCATCTGACTGTTAAATTAAACAAAGTACAATTCAAAAATATTTATTGTCACTTAACATTGAAGTATACATGTGTACATTGAA